TTGAAAGGCAGTGCTCTTCAATGTCAGAGCAGGAAGGATGATTTCTATGCTAAGGTTCTTAAGCACAGAAATATAATTCTCAAACTAGACATAAATAGGTCATGAATGTAACAGTCTAGTTTTCAGTATCATATATATGATGCTTTCTATAATGAAATAGTAATATTATCAGGAAAATTTGAAGCATGAACCCAACCATACAAAAGAATGGTGAGTCTTAACAGAAAAGTTATTTATCTAAGATATGCATACTTGAGACTTTCAATTATTATTATTTTTTTGTCTAAGATCATTACATGAGCAAAGCATCAAACTTCTATCCTCATCTATTCCTGATCCTCACCTTCTCCTGGAGAGAGAACCTTTGTATAAACACGTTTCCTCCTTCTGTTTTTCCTGTGTGTTATTTAGACAATTGAGAATTCACATGTAGTATTAAATATTTCTCTTCTTTTAGAAATATAGATATCTTGACTTCCTCTGTTAACTTTTTCAATTCTCTAAAAATTGAGGAAACAGCGAAGGATTTGCTTCCTAAAACTTAAGGCTCAGCAACAAAAAGAGTTAGGGTGAGACAAGATTTCAAAAGCAGAGAAATCTGATGTTTATCATTCTTGGATGAAAGCATGCCAAGGATCAATGGAAGGTGTTGTAAAGGCACATGTCTTGATTTTCAAAGGAGAGCGATTGGGGATTTGTTTAGAAGTGTCAGCACTGAGTTAAGAGAATGTCACCCTATCATTCTCTCAGGCCAGAAACAGGAAATTCTGTAGTCTTAATGTGAAGCTATTTATAGAGAATAGTGCTCTTTAAGGGGAAATTTAAGTTTAATTTTGTGAGTAAACCTTCAGCTAGAACTTAGAACCCTCTATCAGAGGGTTTTCAAATGCAAGCTGGTTTGACCAAACATGTAGAGAGCCCCAGAAATGACATTCTTATTGGTGTTTCCTTGAAGGAGTATCAAATATAACTTCCAATGTTGTTGAATATTAAAAATGGGAGAAAGCTAATCTGTTTAGTGGCTTATTCTGACTTTACCAAGCAAGATACCACACATACTATTATTTCCACATTTCTTACCATTCTTCAAAAGTCAAATCACACATGAAGAAATAGTAACAACCCCTCCTTTCCTTACATTAAAACCATTTCATCTTTCTTCTCTGATCTCGCTTCCTTGATCATCCTCCCCTTACTTGTTACTTGTGAACTCTGTCCTACAAAACTTCAACTTCAATTTCATCTTCCCTGACTTGTCTAGCCAGATTCAGCCAAACTGACTTAACCCCTTCCTCCTCTGAGTTTCCAAAGAATTGTGCTCATATTGTGCATTATAGCATTTCAAGTATGATACTGTTTGCATGGTCTATCGCTACTAGATTTAAGGTCATGTCTGAATCATCTCTACAACCATCTCCAACATAAGGACTCATTATAAATGTGATGACTGTCTTCGAGGAGCTTTCAGTCAATTAGGGAGCATATGTAAAACCACACACAAAAAATAATAGGCAGCAAAAGCAATTCACCAATTTATTCAACAAAATTTTATTAATTGCCTATTTTGGCCTGGGTATCTATATATATAAAAGTCTAAGGGACTGAACGACCAGAACGACTGGTTGCTATGACTTGCACTGACCCCCAGGAGGCAGACGCTCAATGCAGAAGCTGCCCCCTGGGGGTCAGTGCACTCCCACAATGGGAGTGCTGCTCAGCTGACTGACCCATCCAGGCAGCCGACCAGCCCAGCAGCAGCCACTCACTCCCTCAGTAGTCCTGCAGGTCCAATCTCCAGAGAATGGGCCAGGCACCAATGGACCAGTGCCACCAGCACAATCCCAACAGCACCACCAGCCTCCTGGAAGCAGGCCTTGGGCACCTCAGCCGCTTCCCCTCCCTAGATGCTCCACAAGGAAGAAATAATATAAAAGCAGACACCAGGTGGCTCCTGAGAACCGGCTGGAAAGTCAGTGGGATGGATCCCAGGTAAGGGTATCCCACTGTCCACCCAGAGTGCCGATCGCATCCTGGCCTTCCCCCAACCTCCCCTCAGGACCCCACATGTGCATGAATTCGTGCACCGGACCTCTAGTAAAACTGAATAAGACAGACTTGGGCCCAGCTGGTGTGGCTCAGTGATTACGCAATGAACTATGAACCAGGAGGTCACAGTTCGAATTCAGTCAAGGGCACATGCCTGGGTTTCAGGCTCTATCCCCAGTAGGGGGTGTGCAGGAGGCAGCTGGTCAATTATTCTCTCTCATCATTAATATTTCTATCTCTCTTTCCCTCTCCCTTCCTCTCTGAAACCAATAAAATATATTAAAGAACAAAGAAGACACATGACTTCATAGAATTTAAAATTTGGGCTTAGAGATAGATATTAAATAACAAATCATACAAATTATTTGTAATAAGCACAACAATAAAGAAGAGCAAGGAGAACAAGGCATAAGCACAGGCAACAGCATGTGCGAAGACCCTGAGGTGATGAGAAGCTTGGTCCTTTGGAGAAAATGAGAGAAGACTGATACGAATGATGCAGGAATAGAAGGAAAAGACTGCCAAAAGGTCAGTTTGTGAGGCTGGGCAGAGGCCAGCTCAAGCAGGGGCTTCAAGGTTATGTTAAATGTCTGGAATTTATTTTAAAATCAAAAGAAAGTCATTCAAGAATATCACGCAGGACTGCAACATTACTGAATTTATTTATTTTTTTAAAAATAAATTTTTATTGATTTTAGAGAGAGAGGAAAGCAGAGAGAGAAACATCGATGCATTAACATTGATCAGCTGCCTCCTGCATGCTTCCTACTGGGGATCAAGTCCGCAACCCAGGCATGTGCCCTGCTCAGGAATTGAACCGGGGACCTCTTGGTGCTTTGGCCAATGCTCAACCCCTGAACCACACTGGCTGGGCTGAATGTATTTATATTTTTAAAAAGATCATTCTAGCTGCCAGATGAACATTGGAAGTAGGTAGATACGTTAGTTGGGCACATGATGACTGTAACTTATACTAGTGTGATGTTAGTTGTAATAGAGAAAAGTGGATGGACTTGAGAGACTTTTAGAAGTTAGAATCCACAATATTTAGGGATTATTTGGATTTTTGTGTATGTACGTGTGTGTGTGCACACCCATGTGTGGTATATTGTGTCAGATGAGTGGTGGAAGCAACAGGGAGAAGAAAATATCAAAGATGACGCCCAGATTTCTTAACTGAGCAACTTGATGAATGACAGCCTGTTTTTTAATGCTTATGTGGACAGATTTAAGAAATGGAAGGATACCAACCCCAACCTCTGTCATCAATCTTCAACCTGAAATCTAGTGAGTCTTGATAGAGTTCTCAAGTGTCTCTGATAAAAAGGCAAAAGACCCTGTTGATGGTAGAGATAGGTAACCTTTTAAAACATCAAAAACTATTTTTTGAGTATAATTGACATGCAATGTCAAAACAACACAGTGAACCATTTTCAGTGAAGGCTGCTGAGACACTAACTTCTAGCAGAGCACGGGGTGCGGGAGCCCTGTCTGGGGAGGGCTCTCAGAAGCTGGAGGCCTGGAAGAGCAGACAGGCTGGCCCTTCTTGTTGGCAAATGTCATAATTTTGCTGAGTGGGGAGGTCCTAAGAAAGATGCATTTCAGAGAGACTGTTCCTAGAGAAACTGAATCGGAAAGTGTGTGTCTGCAATTCAAATCGATTCTTCTTGGCCTTCAGCGGCGCTCTTCCCCTGAACTTCATAACAATCTTCTTTCACAAGCTTAAAGGATCTAGCTGCGTCTTACTGTCTCCGATGTCTGCTTTCCTGCAACGTTCCCTGAAATATCTAGCTCATAAGCCTACACCATGTCTGTGACTCAGCACCAACTCTTACTAATTAATGTAACACATTCTGAAACGGTTTCAATACGTTTTAGCTTGCTGCCACCCCAGCCCTCCAATTCCCGTCATCCGACACTTGGAACTATTAATAAACCAGCCCCTTTTACTAAACCGATGAATCCCTTTGTAAATTCACTAGATGGCAGTGGAGGCACTCCGGCACGCAGCTGAAAAGCCTTCTGCGCTAGGAGAATGTGCATGAAAACGGTCAAGTTCCAGCTGCCCTGTTACCTGAGTTAAAAGCAGAGAGAAGGTAAAAGAGGAAGAGGAGCGCAGCGAACTAAATGCTGCTTCATCGCTTCAATAGGCTGGGCATTCATGTCACACAGAGAAAAGGTGTTTCAAGTACACCCGCCTCTTGGTTAATGAAGTAAATGCATTTGCTTTCTTTTTAAGCCATAAAATCAATTTCCATGAAATAAATCCGATTTTTCCTCACTGAATTTCATTATTAACTTGGGGATATAGTTCTTTAGAGAAAAACAGTTCATGAATATTATTAAATCATAGGAACACAACACTTCTTTTGAAATAGCCCATTTAAAGGAATACAGTAATTTGCGCCAAACACTGACAAATGGTATTAAAATATTCACAAATATTTAATAAATATCAGTAAGGTGTTACATGCAAATAAGTCATAACATAGAAAATTAAGAAAGAAAATGTCATACCAGTTTCTTCATACATAAATAATCAAACTTTCTTGCTGTTCGCTCCTTAAATGTTTAGTAGTTCGGTTCAATTCTTCCATTGCCTTGTACTACCTTAACCTTTTTGAACTGTATATTAAGTATAACTCATTAAATTTCTTTTCTGTATGTGAAGTTGGGCTGTTTCCAGATTAGCTCATACTGACTCTTTAATGTTCAAAGCAATGCTGCCTTTATTTAGCTGATGATATTTTCTTATTAGTTGATGATATTATTACTAACATTTATTTGCATGTGTTATAGTTTACAGAATTCTTTTCACATACATTATCTCATTTAATTTTTACAACAATGAGTTATGTAGGGATGATTATTAACCCCATTTTACAGATGAGAAATAGGAGATTATACAGACTAAGTAACTTGTTCAAGGTCACGCACATTTTTTTTTTCCCCCACATCAGTCAGGTAACATGTCAATGTTATCACAAGGTTTGAGGGAGGCACATCTCACATGAGAACCGGAACACCCAATCATCATGCTGATGAGCGATAAGGCTCAGGTCACACACATTTTAAGTAGCAGAACTTTGATATGAATCTAGGCTTTTGAGTCTAGGTCATAGATTCTTCCCACAATTCCTCACTGACCCCCAAACAATTAGCATATTTAAATAATTATGTTCACCTACAAAAAAGAAAACAAAGACAGAATAGAGACCTATAAAGAAAAAAAAATGGCCTACTGTGGGTAGCCCATGGAAGATAAGTAAGGACCAGACTGTGCAGAACCTTGTAAATCATGGATTAGGGACTCATTTTAAGTGTCCCAGGAAGCCACTGAAGTTTTAAATCAAGGCAGGGCACAGTTTGCTGTTTATGAAAGACCACTCTGGTTTTAGTGTGGGGAGTGGTTAGGAGTCAGCAGGAGTGGCTGTGGGGAGGTTGGTTAGGCAGCTGTGTCAGCAGTTCAGGAGAAAGAGGTGGCAAAGGGTGTCATGACAAACAGGCAGATTTGAGGGCTCTTCAGGAGTTGGAATGAACAGGTCTTCATGACTGACTATACACTGGTGGTAAGGGAAGGGGAATGTCAAGAATAAATTTTAAGATGGGCAACTGCGTGGTTAGAGGTGTTATTGACTGAAACAGAAAATATTGGAAGACCATCCAATTTTTCCTGAAATGTCATTTGACTACCATGTAATCTATAATAATAAAAGTGTAATATGCTAATTAGACCAGACGTCCTTCCAGATGACCTTCTGGATGAAGCTGGGGGCTGTGAGGGCTGAGCCCCTTGCGTGAATTTCGTGCATTGGGCCTCTAGTTATACAATAAAAAATCCTTGTTAATGGAATATATTTTAAGATTAAAATTGCAGTTCAGAAGGGCTACACTCTTTCCTCATCCTACAAACCTATGCCTAATCTGTCTCCTCCAAGAAATCTCTTTTATTTTTCCTGCTGGAAATCTGTTCCTCCTCTGTTATCTCATGGTACCACCTCTACCTTTGGTTTAGCTATTGTCACACTCTGCCGTTGCCTCAACCATACTATAATTCTCTTGAACTACACTTGAATAAATGTAGACTGAATAAATACTCGAATTAACAGATGTGAACTCCCACTTTCCTTCCATTTTACAGCAAGTAGGATGGTCTTCTTGTTTAAAAAAAGGAAGCAGCTCCAGACACATTGCTTTAGAGGTGATTTTAGAACTATGAATAATAATCTTTTAGCAATCATAAGCGAATTGTCAGTAGCCTCAAGTGAATGTGAATAGGAGAATGCAACCATTGTAATTGGGAAAGAATGGTAGGTTCCACGAACAATAAGTCACTAATTTTTATTTAAGTTGCAGAAATAATAAATTGATTAATTCTCCCGTTTATTTATTTTATAAAAATATATTGACTGCTGAGGATACAAAAATGATAAGAAGGAAGCCACAGCCTCAGAAAGGGAGACAGAGGCATGAAAAAAATTAAAATAATATGACATGACCTGTGTTATAATAGATGTACATATATACTGATGAGAGAGAAATTGTGTCAGCTCTTGTGGTCAGGGATAGCTGTAGATAGGAAGTGGCATTTGGGTTGCTCATTAAATAATGAATAGGAATTCTCCAGTAATCAAATAAGAAAGAGCACTGCAGGCATACAGAAATGCATAATTAGATCATGAGAGAATCGCAATGCCTGTCTGAGTAGGTGGATCAGAGGGCATATGGGAGAAAATGACCTGTGATAAGCCCAAAAGGGTCGGCCTAGGAGCCCTAAGAGACTGGACATTGATCACTTAGAAACATTTAGAGCTTATTTTAAAAACACTTGGTTTACAAATATGCAGGAAAAACATATAGTGATGGACAAGAATATAGTGATGTGGGTGAGAACCCATAGTGTCTGGCACAGAGGAATGTTCAATACATATTGAACAAATAAGACCAGGTTCATAAAGAAGTTTTTCAATAAATAAGAGTTATGCTATTTATGATATAAAATAAATATATGTGAACCAATAGCTTTTCTGTATACCAGAAATGAACCACTGGTATATAGAAATAGAGCATAATGAACATATGTGCAAGCTTGTAAGAAGTGACTTAGAACTAGAGGACTAAAACAGCAAAATATTGACAAGTGACATAAAAGATGACTTGAATATTTGAAAAGCATAACATTTAAAAGATGTCAGTTCTTACAATGTATTTAGTATTTTGTTTATTTTCATATTTAGTATTTTAATGTTATTTCAATAAAAATTTCAATGCTCAATGACATTTTTTTTCTATGCAGAAAGAGTAAGAGTTTAAACTGCTTCTCGAGAAGTAGTAAGATAATAATATCCAAAGCCAATTTGTGAAAACAACAACAAAACCCTAATGAGAGTCTTTCCTTCTTAATATCAATAGACATTACAAAGTTATACTAATTGAAATATTGTGGTACTAGAACAAAATTGGACACAAAGATCTCTGGAATGTCATAAAGAACTCAGAAATAAATTTTAGTGTATAAATAAGAAGTCGAGGAAAATTAATGTGAAAAATGGTTTATTCCATAAATGACACTGGCAAGATTTGTTTGCCACAATAGATCATTTACCCAAGCATCTACATACCAGAAAACTTCATATAATAGATATCTTCTATATGATTATTATTTTATATTATTTATTTGTTTATTTATTTTACAGAGGGAAGAAGGGGGGAGAGTGAGAGAGATATATTTGTTGTTCCACTTGTTTATGCACTTATGAGTTGATTCTTATATGTTCCCTGACTGATTGAACCCGCAACCTTGATATATCGGGACTACGTTCTAACCAACAGAGCTTTTGGGCCAGGGCCTCAATGTGATTATTTATTTTAAAATAATGCCATTGTAATTGTTGAAGAAAGACTAGATATAATGTTTAACCTATGAATTACAGGGTTAGAAAAAACTGAATGGTGATTTTATGAAATGTATAATTTGTAATGGTTCTTGCTAGCTACATTTTAGCAGGCACTATCTTAATTTATATTAAGACTAAAGGCTCAGTGCACAAAATTTGTGCAGGGGGGAGCATCCCTCAGCCTGGCCTACCCTCTCGCAGTCCAGGACCTCTCGGGGAATGTCCACCTGCCGGCTTAGGGAACACCACTTTCACAATCTGGGATCCCTTGCTCCTTACCTCCCGCCTGTTCGATCCTTACCGCTCGGTTTGCTGCTCCTTAGCACTGCCTCAGAGGCAGGAGAGGCTCCTGCCACTGCCGTTGTGCTCGCCAGCCATGAGCCCGGCTTCTGGCTGAGTGGCGCTTCCCCTGTGGGAACACACTGACCACCAGAGGGAAGCTCCTGGATTGAGCGTCTGCCCCCTGGTGGTCAGTGTACATCATAGCAACTGGTCGTTCTGATAGTTCCACCTTAACGGTTGCTTAGGCTTTTATTATATAGACTAGAGGCCTCATGCATGAAAGCCTTCCTTCCCTTGGCTACCAGCACTGGCTTCCCTCCAGCACCTGGGACCTGCGCTTCCCTCACAGCCCCAGCTTCGTCCATCCAGAAGGTCATCCAGAAGGACATCCGGAAGGACGTCTGGTCTAATTAGCATATTATACTTTTATTATTATAGATTATATAAATGATTATCTACAATATGACAATTTACAAAATATGCATCCTTTTGTATAATTATTGTTAAGTCAAATTCTTGACTTCGTGACTATATCTTGTTCTACTCTATTTGGAGCACTTGTCTTCAGAAAGACACTCCAATGAAAGGACAGAGAATGTCAGATTGTATAAAAAAGAGAGGCCATTTTAGGTTGTCTACAAAAAGCATAACCTATATAATAAAAGGGTAATATGCAAATTGATCCTAACAGCAGAACAACTGGGAATGACTGGTCACTATGACACACACTGACCACCAGGGGGCAGACACTCAATGCAGGAGCTGCCCCCTGGTTGTCAGTGTGCCCCCACAGGGGGAGCTCTGCTCAGCCACAAGCCAGGTTGACGGCTGCCAGCACAGCGGTGGTGGCGGGAGCCTCTCCCACCTCATCAGCAGCGCTAAGGATGTCTGGCTGCAGCTTAGGCCTGCTCCCCACTGGCAAGTGGACATCCCCCAAGGGCTCCTGGGCTGGCAGAGGGATGTCTGACTTCCAGCTTAGGTTCGATCCCCCAGGGAGCCAGACTAAGCCAGCAGGTGGACATCCCCTGAGGGTTCCCAGACTGCGAGAGGGCACAGGCCATGCTGAGGGACCCCCCCCACCCCAGGGCACAAATTTTTGTGCACCGGGCCTCTAGTTTTAAATATAAAAATGAGGATAGTATTAAAGTAAAAGGATTGAAAAAAACTATACCATGCAAATACTAATAAAAAGAAACCAAGAGTGGCTATATTAATATCAGACAAAGTAGTCCAAAAAATGAAGAGATGATAGGTAATACAGAAAATCAATAAAATTGATAAATCTATAGCTAGTATGGTAAAGAATGAAAGATTCCACAAATTATCAATATAAGAAACAGAACAGGAGCTGTCACTATAGATCTTATAAATATTAGCATAAGAATATATTATGAGTAAAGTTATGACAATAAATTTGACAACTTAGGTAAAATGGACAGTTCATTAAAAGAAATAAATTAGCAAAATAGACTCAAGAAGTGAAAAACTTTAATAGCTTTTATATCTAGTAGAGAAACGTCCCACAAAAAACGTCCAGCCTATATAGTTCTCACTGGTCCATTCTACTAAATATTTAAAGAATGAAAAATATCAATCCTATGCAAATTCTTTCATATGGAAAATAGGCAGATAAGGCAGATATTGTTCATAACTCATTTTTATGAGGTCAAGATAGAGAGATACATGTTCATGGATTAGAAGGCTCAATATTTTAAAAATATAAATTACCCTACATTAATCTATACGTACAATTCAATCCCAATAAAAATTTCAGCTGAGTATTTTTGTGTGACAGAAATTAACAAATTGATTTCAAAGTTTATACAGAAATGCAGAGGACCTGGAGTATTTAAAACAATTTTAACAAAGAGCAAAGT